GACCCTCTAGACTCAACCTGCCCCCACCATCCCCATGATCCCAGACTGACCACTCCAGCTCCTCCAGCTCGCGGCCTTTCATGACTTCCTGGATCTCTTCCCGGCACTTTTCCTGGTACTCGGGGTACTTGGCCAAATTGAACAGCACCCATGAGAGCCCGCTGGACGTTGTGTCATGACCTGCAGACAGATGAGGAGCTCAGATGGGTGCTTCCCGAAGATAGTGGAGATGCTATCTTCAGACAATGGGCACATCTCCATCCTCCCCCAGCCTCGCCCCATATCTTCACCCTCAAACATGAAGGTGTCCGCCTCAGCTCGGATGTCCTCATCGGTCAGTTCCTTCCCATCTTCATCCTGGAATGGGCAGTAGATAATACTCAGCCCACTTCATTCCACCCTCCACATACTTAGGGCTCCTCCAAAGTCAAAGATTCCCCACTCTCTTATGCCAAGCTGCAGGGGAAAGGATTCCAGGCACATGGATGTATGCAACTTGTCTAAGAAATATGGTAAGAGGGAAGGAGAATCAAAGATGAGGGGAAGAAGGGAGTTCATGTTTCTTGAGTAGCTCCTAGCACCAAGCATCCTGCCTGATGCCCAACAACAATCTTGTGATCAGGTCATATGATCATCATGTTGTAAATGAGGAAAATGAGGCTCAGAGGGAAGCATCAGATGACTAAGGTCAAGCATCCATGAAGGGGCAGAGTCAGAACTGGAATCCAGGACTGTCTGAATCCAGAAACCAGGTGCTGCTCAAAAGTTCTACAGAAGTGTCACAAATGGGTGACTACCTATTTCTGCAAGAGTCACATGTCTTCAAGGTCATGTATTTCATCTTTGTAAGTGTAGTGGGCTGAATTGTGTCTCCTCCCCACTCCCACTTCCTGAACTCATATATTGAAGTTGTAACCCCCAGGACCTCAGAATGAGTGTATTTGGAGATAGGACCTTTGCAGAGGTAATTAAGTTACAAAGGGGTCATTAAGTGGGCCTTAATACAATATTACTGGAGTTCTTACAATAAGAGGAAATTACAATACAGACGTGCACAGAAGGAAAACCATGTGAAGATACAAGGGAAGACAGCCATCTACAAGCCAAGGAGAGAGGCCTCAGAAGAAACCAACCCTGCTGACACATTGATCTCAGACTTCTAACCACCAGAACTGAGAAGATAAATTTCTGTTGTCTAAGTCAACTAGTGTGGGGCACTTTGTTACAGCAGCCCTAGCAAGCGAATACAGCAAGTCTTACGTGTTTGCATCTGCCTGCATCCTAGGTCTATATTAGTTTGGACATTTATTATTTTAGGCAGTTGGTGCAACTCCTGAGGAGGCCATCCTTGATGCGGCCCCACCCTCCAGGGCCCCGCCTCACCCTGGCCAGGAGCAGTACATCAATGAAATCCAAGGTTTTGCCCTGCTTGGACTTCATCCAGGCCTCAGCCCCCTGCTGGCGTAGCACCTGCCGCCGCTCCTGGATGACTTCCGTGGTGAAGGAGTGCACAGTGTTACAGGCCTGTCGGAAACGCCGCCCATCTGCCGTGAGGTAGTAGATGAAGTCGATATAGTGGTGCAGGCGATACTGGCGTCGAACCGCTAGCGCACTCAGCTCAATGATGGCTGAGATGTAATCGCTCATCTTCCTGCCAGGGAGAAGAAGGGCCATGAGCATAGGCCCATCCCCTAAGACGAGCTTCCTCTCCCAGTGGGTAGGCAACAGAGAGAGGCCCTGAATTAACTATAATTTCTTTCTTTTCTTTCTTTTGCTTTCTTTCTTTATCTCTCTCTCTCTCTCTCTCTCTCTCTCTCTCTCTCTCTCTCTCTCTCTCTCTTTCTTTCCTTCTCTCTTTCTTGATGCTCTGCCACCTGGGGCCTTGCTGACTAGAGAGACACTGCTCCTCCCAGGACTAGCCTATTCTTAGAGACTCTCACCATGGAGCAAGCCTTTGTTTTACAAATCAACCAGCCCAGATCCCCTACTCCAAACTTTGTCTGGCTGAGCCAATATTCCCCTGCCTTAATCACCCCAGGGCCAGGTACTGGACAACTAGGGGGCACTCTGATGCCCCAGAGCCTGCTGAAATTATCCAAACTAGGCAACCCTAAGCCTGCATACCCTGCGTTTCCCATTTCTTCCTGTAGAACCACCCCGCCCCCAAAAGGCTTTTGCTGTGCTTTCTCCTGGTGCTTCTCCATGTGGACCTCCTCTTGAGAACTGTAAGTAACAAACTATGTTTTCAATGGCAATCATTTCCTGATCTGTTGGCCTCACCATCCCTGAATAAAACCAAAATCTGGGTACCTTTTAAAACAGACCCAAAGAGGGATGAGGACTTCCAAAACAGATGTAGAACATCACTAGAACTAAATGGCTACAACCCACAGAGTGGGAGAAAATATTTGCAAATCATATATCTGATGGGGAACTTGTATCTAAACTATATAAAGAACTCTTAAAACTCAATAATAAAAAAGACAACTCAATTTAAAAATGGGGAAAGTATATGAATAGACATTTCTCCAAAGAAGATGTACAAATAGCCAATAAGAACATGAAAAGATGCTCAACATCATCAGCCATTAGGAAAATGCAAATCAAAATCACAGTGAGATACCAGTTCACCCTGACTGGGATGACTCTAATCAAAAGGATAAATAATCACAAGAGTTGGTGAGGGAGTGGAGAAATTAGAGCCCTCACATACTGCTGGTGGGAACATAAAATGGTGCAACCACTATGGGAAAAAGTCTGGCAGTTTCTCAGAAGGTTAAACATAGAATTATATAACCCAGTAATTCTACTCCTAGGTATATACACAATAAAAAAAGAAATATATATACACACAAAAACTTGTACATTAATGTTTATAGCAGCATTATTCATAATAGCCCAGAAGTGGAAACAACCCAATGTCCATCAATGGATGACTGGATAACAAAATGTGGTATTATAAAAGGAATATTACTCAGCAATTTAAAAAATGAATTATTGATACATGCTACATCATGGATGAACCTGCAAACATTATGCTGAGTAAAAGAAACCAGAAACAAAGATCTGTATAATTCTATCTATGAAATTTCCATTAGACAGATTTATAGACATGGAAGGAAGATTAATGATTGCCTAGACCTAGAGGAGAAGTGGATTGTAGGGAATAAGTGCTCAAGTGTACAGGGTTTCTTTCTGGTGAAAATATTCTAAAATTGTATATAGTGGTCAGCCAACTGTGTGAATATACTAGAAACCATTGGATTGTAGATTTTCAATGGGTGAATTATATGGTATGTGAATTACATCTCAGTAAAGCTGTAATTAAAACAACTATTAAATCACTAGGGCAGGGTTGCAAGGAACTGTCCTTGGTCCTGAAGTGTGCTTGTGGTTTTCAGACACTTATCACAGTCTGTTATTTTTTTGTTTATGGTTACTGCCTTTCTTCCCAACAACATGTAAGTTCCAGAAGAGCAAGACCTCATCTGTTTTATTCACCACTGTACTCACAGTGCCTAGGCCAGGACTAGCACATAGTAGGCACTCAGTAAATATTTCTTGGATTAGTTAATTATTAAGGCCATCTCCACCTTACCTAACTGAAACACACCCCTACAAGGCCCAGAATAACAAAGTCAGCAGCTTGTTATTGAGAAACTACTATGTGCTACAAACTTGACATTATGTTCCTTATTTCTTATATCCCCACTTAGATTATAAGCTCAAGGAACTGGGATTTCACCCGTTGCCCCACCATATTCCTAGTATAGTAGCTAGCACAGTGCTAGTTACATAGTAGGTACACAAGGAATATCTGATGAATGAATGAATGAATGAACCAGGGCAATGGTTATTTTACTCATTCATTCAACAAATACTCACTGATGAGCATCTACTACGTGTCAGGGCAGTGATACATCATTTTATCCTTAAAGCATCTCTCAGAGAGTCAGGGATTGTCATCAAAAAAGAAAATGGAGGCTCAGAAAGTCGGGGGATAATTTCCAAAGACCATATAGTCTTCATGGAGGATTGAGAGAAACTAGCATATACTGAGCAAAGCCATTGACTCATGTTAACTCATTTAATTCTAACACCATAACTATGGGGAAGGAATTGGGATTCCATTTTTTTAAAATAAGAAAACAGGTTCAGAGAGGTAATGTAAGTTAACCAGAGACACACAGCCTGTCCGTGGCAGAGCGCCAGCAGCCCAAGGGTACCTAACATCACCTTTCTCCTCCTACCACTTTGCCTCTCTTCCCCAGGGAGGCCACACTCACTCCTGGCAGTTGCTATTGTAGCTGAAGACACATTTCTGAAGACTGTCCAGGGTCATGAGGCTGACATGCTCAAACATATCAAGCGAGACCATTGAGCCCTCCACCAGGCGCCGCCATTTAGCCTGGAAGAGAGAGACAGCAAATGGGCACAGAGACCGCAGACTTAAGGCCTGACTGACAGTGACCTAACTGCATGCTCACTACAAGTGTAAATAAAGGAAGCGAGGCTTCGTGACATCACATGGCTCACCCATGAGTTGGAGCCTGAGCCAGCCTTACGCCCAGGACACTTTCTTCCCATGAAATCTTGGGACTCACATGCATGATGTTGGTGCACTGGTTGAATATCTTCATGTAGGGCTTCAGGATGTCAAAGTGGAAGGCAGGTGTCAGCAGGCGGCGGTGCCGGCTCCACTTGTCACCTTTGCTGAGCAGGAGCCCATCTCCTGGGTCCAAAAGACTGAGGTTAGGAGCCTCTCCCACTACTCTGAAACACTCAAGAAACCCATGCCCTGCCCCCTCTTCTCTGAAACTCCAGCCCCAGTTTATCCAGTCCCGCACTCACCCAGCCAAGGTTTCAGAAAGCCATAGAAAAGGTCATCCTTGGGGGCAATGGCAGCTGTGGAGAGAGATGAGGCTGTGTTGACTCGAAATGGAATTCTGATCCTTGATCTCTGCTTATGACCTCCTTGGGGGTCCTCTCTGAGCTCTGACCTCCCACCTCACCTCTCTAGTCCATCTTAACACCTGCCCCAGAAATAGCCTTATTACATGCTGATCTGAACATGAGATTCCCCTGTTCAAACACCTCCCATGGCTCCCTATTGCCCTGGTAAAAAAGAGTTCAAGCTCAGGTTAGCACCGAAATCCCTGTCCCATCTGGCCTCTGTGTGCCTCTCCCACCTCATCCTCCATCATACACCAAATAACCCCACGTGCTGTCCCTCACTTCTAAACCTTTGCCTAGGCTATGCTTTTCATCCAGAACGGCCTTCTTCATCTTAATCCATCCCCTCTTTTCTGCCAACTCAGGCCTTCTGACTTATGCTTCCGGTGCTCACAGCCAACATCCTTGCCCTCTCCAGTCTAACCTGCACCCTGGTCCCACGGCGATCATATCTGATTTTAGATCTGACCATATCCTTTCCTGTACCAGCTGCTCAGACCATTTTCAAAGTCCTGAATGATCTATCCCAGTCCAGACCTTTCTTAAAACATCTCTATCCGCAGCCCTCCCAACACACACCCACCCACACCCACACACACACCACTGAATGTTCTAATATCACAGAACTTTTCTCAGCTCCTTGGAAAAGCTGTGTTCTCTCTCTGCTCTGAGTCGTTCCATTAGGTGCCCTCTCTGCCTAAAATACCGTATTTCCCCATGTATAAGATGCTCCCATGTATAAGACGCACCTTAATTTGGGGGCCTGAAATTTGAAAAAACTGTATTACATAGTCATTGAACTCAAGTTTTATTCATCATAAAATTCATACAACTCTTCATCACTTGCAGGAAATGCAAGTAAAAAATCCACAACCACTGTATAAGACGCACCCAGTTTTTAGGCCCCAAATTTTTCAAAAAAGGGTGTGTCTTATACATGGAGAAATATGGTACTCTTTTCTCATCTTTCTAGTCTCTGCTTGCATGCCATACCCTCCTCTATCAATCACTATGGATTGTATCCATCTAGTTACAAGCCCCTTGAGGGGAGGGACCATGTCAATCACTTATATATTGGTGCTAATATATTTTTATTGTATGAATAAATGAACCAAAGAATGAATAAGTGGATGGATGGAAAAATGGATGGGTGAATGAGTGAATGGATTCCCTTTCTACATGCTAAACAAACTTGGGACAGAGTGGGCAGGTGCCCAGGAAGGAAATACCTGAAATTCAAGTGATGTCACTTGTACCTGAAATGTGACTCAGCCACCTACACACACACTCCCCAGGAATTGGCCAATCATGCACACAGTCATCTGTCCACTTGCTCTTCCATTCAACACACAACTCTTGAGACACCTTTCTGTGCCCAACCCACGCTGGGCAATGCTGGGGAGAGAGATGGCTCATCTCCACACCCTGAGGAGCTTTGGGTAGGGCAGGAAAGGGAAGTGGAGGCACGCCATGCAATTATTAAGAAGGTAGGAAGAGTGCCAGGAGAGAAGGGAGGCACAGAGAAAAGGCTGCTGGAAGTCAAGACAGGCTTCTTGGAAGAGGAGGCATTGGAGAGGAAAGTGTATGTCTAGTTATTCCTCTCCTCTCTGGACTCTGGACTCCAGGCTAGGACCCCCAGAAGTCTTTCTGACAGAGAACTGTCCAATGGTTGTCTTGCTCAAACACCTCCCATGGCTCCCTGTCACCCCCAGGATAAAAACTTGCTCATTCACTTTACACACAGGTGCTCTGAGTCCTGCTCCTGTATCATTTCCTACTTTCCCCCACACATCACCTTCACTCCAAATACCCCAAGTCACCTGAATTCCCCTAATGCTTTCACACATCTGCACCTTTGCAGTAGTAGGACCCTCCACTACTTGCCAGAAATTGCCAAAAATTACTCATCTGGCAAACTCCTATGCATCCTTCAAAGCCCAGCTTCACCAATGCCTCCTCCAGGAAGCCTTCTCCAAACCCTCCCCCAATTGAACCCTTGCTTTCCTATCCTTGGGTCCCTCCTCCACTGAAACCCTGACCACTCAATGCCAGGAGAGTTGGTGTCCAGGCTGCCTCTTACATCAATTTCCCCTCCAGTAAAAAGGGGATAGTAATGTCTACCCTGGAGGAAGTCATATTTTTTTAAAAGCCCCCACACAATGCCTAGCAGGAAGCTGCCTATCACTATGGTTGAGAGCTTGGCCTGTGGTCCAGCCAGGTCTGGGTTCAAATCTCATCCCTACCACTAACTAGTTGTGTAAACTTGGACATGTTACTACTGTGCCCCTACATGTCCTCATCTGCCAAAGAGGAAATAAAACAATCCTGCCAGCCTAATGGCACCCCTACAAAAACTCAATGGACTAATATATTCCTGGCACATAGTAAGTACTCATTAAATATCTATGCATGTAAATAAATAACTAACCAACTGTTGGCTATTTTTTACTACTATAATAATTATTGGTCATCGTTATCAAGAACTTGTGAGATAAATATCCCCAGCTCACTGCAGGCCCCTATTAGTGGAAAGAGAAATGTATAGCTGCCATGGAAAACCTGGAGGTTCCTTAAAAGTTAAACATAGAATTACCATATGACCCCACAATTTTTTCAGTAAATACTCCTGGGTAATCGACCCAAGAGAAATTAAAAATGTATGTCCATACCAAAACTTATATACACATGGTCATACCAGCATTATTTATAACAACCAAAAGGTAGAAACTACCCAAATGTTCATCAGTGAATGAATAGATAAACAAATTGTGGTCCATCTATACAATGGAATATTACTCAACCTTAAAAAAGAAATGAAGTCCTGATAACTGCTACAACCAGTTTTGGGAGAACCTCAAAAACATTATGCTGGGCTGTTTGAGTGGCACGTTGGTTAAGAGCTGGCTTGGGACACCAGAGGGCCCCGGTTCAGATCCCACATATGAGGGCCAGTGACACTACCTTCTACAGCTAAGATGCTGAACAGCAGCTCAACCTGGAGCTGGGCTGCCATGAGTCACCAGCGATGGCGGAGGCTGCAGCCCCTGCTGCAGTGGGTTGCCAGGGGCTACTGTGTGTAGCCAGCAGCCAGCGTGAGCGGCCATCCAGAAGCCAGCAACTGATCTGCCTCAGCCAGGAAGAGCGCAATGATGGTGCCAACTTGGGCCAGTGAAGCAACGTCCTCCACAACTAGACTGAAGAAAAGGACAGCAACTTGTCTGCTCCCCTTCCCCCAATTCCCCAGCGCTGTTCCTATCCCCCAATCCCCAATAAAAATCTTTAAAAAAAATTTATAAAAAAAATAAATAAATAAACCATTATGCTGAGGGGCAGCCAGTTAGCTCAGGTGGTTAGAGCGGAGTGCTCACAACACCAAGGTTGCCAGCTCAATTCCCACATGGGCCATGGAGCTGCGCCCTCCACAACTAGATTGAAACAACCACTCGACTTGGAGCTGATGGGTCCTGGAAAAACACACTGTTCCCCAATAAAATTTCAAAAACAAAAACAAAAACATTGTGCTGAGTGAAAGAAGTCAGTCAGAAAAGACCACATTTTGCATAATTCCTTTCCTATGACATAGCCAGAATAGGCAGATCCATAGAGACAGAAAGTATATTAGTATTTACCAGGAGGTGAAGACAGGGGAAATGTCAAGTGATTACTTAATGGTACAGGGTGTTTTATGGGGCCATGAAAAAATTTTGAAACTAGAGAGAGCCAATGGTTGCACAACATTGTGAACACACTAATTATCTTATACTCTAAAATTGTACACTTTAAAATGGTTAATTATATGTTATGTAAATTTCATCTCAATAAAAAATAAATGTATGAAACCAAGCTATAATTATATGCCTATATATCATGCGTTGTCCTCTGTAAAGCATTTTTAACTACTTTCTCCCATTAATGCTCTCTATCCCAAATGCCCATTAGAAGATGAAGAAACAGAGGTGCTAAGAGGACCCATGCCTTACTCAGGACCCACAAGCTGTGTGGGTTTAAGCTCAGAGCAGCAATGCCCCCAGGGAAGGCCCCCCCAGGTAGGCCCCAGAGCGAGATGGAATCTGAGACTTGGGGTTAGGCCTGTCCCATCCCAAGTGGGCAGACAACGAAGGGGCAGGGGCACCCTGGGGCTAGGACTCTCCTGACTCACAGCCCCACCCTCCCCAGCCTGGCGTGCTCCATCCTGTTCTTCTGGTGGGGGAGGCAGTGGATATCCTGCATGTTCTGAGAGAGGGGAGGGGAGAAGAAGAGGTTTGAGCTCTACTAAGCGCCAAGCCCATGCTGGGGGCTCTACTCCCTGATCTACTTGGAATCTGAAAACCATGCAGGACGATACTCAGGAAACTGATGCTCTGAGTAGCAGAGGGGAAGAGGAGGTGGGGAAGGAGCTAAGGAAGAATGGGGAGGAGAAAGAAAGAAAAGTATATTGCATTGTCAGGAGAGAAGAAACGCTTATTAGCACCTACCTACATTATATTACTGAGTCTTCACAATGGCCCCATTTTACAGATCAGAAGCCCTGAGAGGCTAGATGAATTGCTGGGTCACACAGCAAGAACGTGCTCCAGCCAGGATTGGACCCCAGCCCACCCAAGTCCTAGCCCAGTGTTCTTCCCACAGCTCTTCCCACAACTGTGTCCATTCCTTGGAAGAGTCACCTCTACCAGGGTCTAGGTTTTCCCACTTGTGCAATGGAGATGATCGTCCCCTCACAAACTCAATAATGGAAATGAAGAGGCATGGGGAGGGCATGGCTGGAGGAGGGAAGTACAGCGGCCCCTTACCCTTTCATGGCTCCGGGGTGGCAGCCTGGAAGGCAGTTTCCACATGTGTTTGAGGAGGCCCAAGCTGAGGCCAGGGATCCTAAAACTCCTGGAGTTCTTTTTTTCCCATCTCTCCTCTATCAAATGTCTCCTGATGCTTTCCAAGGTGCCCAACTACATGCAAGGCCACGATGAGGATCCAGAGCCCCACTTATGAAAAAGATATAGCTGGACACAGGCACACTCAGCCCTAAAAGGTTAGGACTGAGAATGGAAACGTCCAGAAGAGCAGGCTATGGTCTGCTGGAGAGTCAGGGAAGACTTCCTGGAGGAAGGGCCATTGCAGCTGGGTGTTGAAGGCTGAGCAAGAGCTTGCCAAGCGTGCTTGGGAGTCCTACGCCTTGGGATAGGTGTGGATTGCAGAAGGAAGAAGCAATTCTTCTACATCTCTCTCTCTGCCAGTCTGGGTCAGCTCAGGTGAAGAGAGCAGGCTACAGGTTGAGGTAGTCAGAATGGGCATGTCAGAACCCAAATGATGAGTGGGTCATTAGAATTGAGCAACAACCAGTTAACGAAATCTTGGGCAAACAATTGTTTATCTGAACATGTTTGGTTCTGACTTCCCAAGGGGTGGGAATCCTCTCAAATTTCCTGGGACTCTTAGACATTGCCACAACTTTTCCCATGCTGCTCCCACTCTCTGTATTGCCATTTCTGCTTTGGTGAACTCCTATTCATCCTTCAAAGCCCTACTCAAATAGCCCTTCTTCTGGAAGAAGCCCTGCCTAGAAGCCCTGGTGAGCTCTGGAAGTTGAGGGTTTACCCATCACTGAGAGACCCAGCCCACCTACCTGAGGCACCCAGCAAGGGTTTGATGTAGTCAGGGTGTACCAGAACCAACAGTGGCAGGACAGGTCCAACCCATACCAGGACCACATGGTGCATATTGTCCAGCACTTTCTTCTCATCTTGGAGGCCCGTTTCATTGGGAAGATACTGCGGGGGATGGTAGGGAAGGATAGTGAGGAGATACCCAGTCCCATCTTCCCCTAGCCTTTCCCTCCTGCCACCTCCCTTGCCCTAGAAACAAGCCGAGAAGGGCTGTATGACTGCAGGTAGTTGGCTGCACCTTGCTGAGCCTCCACTTCCTCATGTGAAAAGTGGGGAAGAATCAACTCTCCATCTGAGGGCAGTTGAGAAGATTCATGAAATAATAAGACACGAGAACCCAGCACAGGGCCTGACACACAGCTGATGTCCAAGAAATAAAAACAAGAACAGTAAACATAGTAATGATAATTGTTTATCGAGTACTTGCTCTGTTAGTAATAAAATATCACTAGTATTGTCATATTTCACATATACATGTGCTTATAGTGTTTGGCAATGCTCTAGGCATTTTTCTTAGATTTGTATGTTCAACCCACACAAGAACCCCATGACAAAGTTGCTACTATTTCCCCATTTTACTTTGTCTAAAGTTATAGGTGACCAAGCAACTGTTCTCGTTTGGGATCCCCAGAAGCAGGCCCTGAGACAAGGGTTCTAGGGCAAGTAGCTTATTTGTGGGGGCAATCCCAAAAAACATAGATAGGGGATTGGGGAAGGCAGCCAGGAACGAGTGAGTTGTCAAGAAGGTTATCACCATGGGCAACTGGGGCTCAGTGCCACTGGGGACCTCTGGAAGATACATATCTCACAGTCAACCCACCCAAGGGCAAGGGGGCTGGGGTGTTTCTACACCAACTCACATAGTCCCATAGTCACTGGCTAACGGCCGCTCCTGGTGCTTTAACTCTCAAGCTCACAGTATGCACAGGCACAGTGGGCTCCAGCTAGAGAAAGCTCTAGAACGCAGGAACTGGTAGCCAAAGGTCAGGCCATTACACCCAGAAAAGGGCTCAGAGCATATGGGCAGGCACTGGCACCATCTGCCATCGTGGCAGAGCCAGGGTTTGAACACAGGCCACCTAGCTCCAAAATGCCTGCTCTTAACCAACATGCTCTATGAGGCAGAAGCGCTTCTGAGCTCAAATTCACCCTCAACCACTGTGTGATCTTGAGCAAGTCATTTAACCTCTCTCAGCCCCAAAGATCAAATCTATAGTATAGGGCAGATATATCCTTAATTCAGAGGCTGTGAAAATTAAGGAAGAGCTCAGATATGAAGGGGACTAACCCAGTGCCTGGCTAGTGGTAGGGCCCAACAATTGTCGAATGAAAGAATGAATAAATGAACAAAGGACTCCTCTCTGGATCCTACGCCTCCTTCTCTATCAGGCTCAGCCCTGAGCCTGTCCACACCCAAGGGAGATCATGGCCTCGCCCAGGTCTTGTGGCCCCAGGAGGTGGGCTGAATTCTTGGGGTCAAGGTAGGGCTTCAGAACCAGCCCTGCCAATTGCCCAGGTCACTCAGGCCTACCTACTACCTCTAGGACCACCATCCAAATCAGAGGGCTTCTTGGAGTGAGGGTACTGGAGATGGGGCATGAAGGAGTGCAGAAGTTCCCCTAACAACAAAAGATATTCTGGGCAGAGGGCACAATTTCAGCAAAGGCCACAGTGGGGTGGTGGAGCTTTGTTATGGGAACTAGAGGGGGATGGTGGAACAGGTGACGAGGCTGGGGGTCAGAAACAAAAGAACCTTGAACACCAGCTAAGGAGCTGGGACTTTCCCCAGACAGTAGTGGGAAGCCATGGAAGGTGTGTGAGTAGGGAAGGATTCAATAATCCTTCTGGGGCCAAGATGAGGGATGGACTGAAGAGGTGAGACTAGAGGCAGGAGCCCAGGGAGGAGGCTGAACCAAGGTCCAACCGGGGAAGATGAGGCCTGAGCAGGAGCACGAGGGTAGAAGGGAGGGAGGGAACTCAGGTACAAACAGGCAAAAGTTGATGAGTGCTGTCCCCAGGGGGATAATTCCAAAAACTGAATAAAATAAATGTTCTTTGCACTATTGAGTGGAAATGCATCTTCTGCTTCCTTCTTCTGAGACTCCCTCCAAACAGTATCTAAAAGATTTCTAGAATCACTTGATACTTCCCGTCCCTGCAGGACCCAGGAGTGGAGCACATGTATCCACCATTGTGTAGCCGACTTAGTGCCAAGCCTGCCTGGGACATGACTGCAGGACCTGTCAAAACAATCCCATGAGGTTATTAGGAACAATTACAGTCCTTGCATTATGGATGGGGAGACCGAGGCACAGGAGGTGAAGGAGTTTGCTCGAGATCACACAGGCAGCAGATGGTAGACACAGGCATCAGGTCCACACTGATGGCTGCTGCCCTGAACTGCCCTCTCTAAATCCACCTCCGCATTCAGTATAGAGCCTCAGTGCCCTTAGGAGTCTGGCTTTCTATCCCCTGACTTCTGACGCCCTTTTAGAAAAGTCTAGCCTTTCTCATCCAGAGACTAGAGGCAGCTGAGGGAAGACAGCTAAAAGTGCTGGAGCCACACAGCTGGGTTTGAACCCTGGCTCTGCCACGTAAGAGCTGTGTGACCTAGGGCCAGTTACTTAAGCTCTCTGAGCCTTAGTATTCTCAGGTGCAAAATAAGGATAGTCATGGGACTTACCTCCTAGGATTGTCAAGGGCTGAATGAGTTAACATTTATAAATTGCCTAAAATAATACTTGGCACATGCATGTGAAATAAGAAATTAAATGCAAGGAAAGGGGTCCTGACCTGGAACCACAGCATTAAAGAGGGAGAGAGATGGAACTATGTTGGGGATGGGGATGGAGCAACAAAATCTACAGGAGCATGTCCCCATTGTCCCCCACCAGGATCCTAGAACCTGATGAATTTCACAGGTACTGGTACCTGTATTCTGAATATATTATGTCTTCTTATGTGATAGGATATATCCCATGAAAGGTATATCGATAGCCTGGAATTACAAAGAAAACTTTGGCGTTAGCTCTGCTTCATCCCAGCTGTGTGACCTTGGGTAAACTGCTTGCCCCACCCCAACCCCTCCCCTGCTGAGCCTGCCTCACTCATATCCTGTCAAGTGGGTCTGTTCATGGCTCCAACCAGATTCTTGGAGGGCCGGCAGAGTGGCTCAGTTGGTTAAGAGCTCGCTCAAGAGTTTGAGCTCTGAGCAACAGCAGTTCGAGTCCAGCCTGAGCTGAGCAGCCCCTGAGCTGCCAACAGGTAGCAGGATGGCTCAGCTTAAAAAAACAAACAAACAAACAAAAAAAACAGATTCTTGGGAAGCTGCGAGAAGCCAGCGGTCCATTATCCTCACTGAATACCTGGGACCTGCCCAGCTGTGCCCTGCCCAGCCCAGTGGTCCCCGACACACACCATGCCCAGGTGGCCCAACAGCCAGTTGCGCCGGGGCGGCTGAGGGAAGCAGCGCAGCCGGCGGCAGGTGTCGTAGAAGCGCCAGCAGAGCCTCAGGAACCGCAGCAGCAGGCGGAAGAAGACGAAGAGCAGGGAGAGGAGGAGCGCAGAGCCCGCGTACAAGCGGAAGGCGGTCTTCTCCAGTCCCAGGAGGTGCAGCAGGTGTTCTGTGATGGGCAGCATCCTGGGGGGACACACGGGATGGGGAGTCAATGCAGGTGGGAACATGCGTGCCATACATACGGTGACCTGTGCAGTCAAGCATGGCATGCCTGGCAGACAGTAGGTGCTCAATACCTGTAAGTCTCAGATGCCACGGATCCATATCTCTTCTGCCCCCAGCAGTGGCCTCCAGCCAGCTGGCCAGATGGATCCACCATTGCCCCGCCATCTGCACTCAGCCTTGAGTTTGCAGGACATCCCTCCTGACTTCTCTGCCCTGTGCAAGGCTGGCCAGAGTGCTGGACATTTAAGACACACCCCGCCCCGAAAGCAGCTCTCCTCAATGACTGAGGAGCATTACTGGATATATACTCCAGCGCCTTCTCCCCTCCGGTGCTATGACCCTGCCGTGTGGGTTTCACATGCACTACCGGTGGGATAAACAGCTGCCCACAATAGAAAATGTCTCTACTAGATGCCTCCCTTCCCCATCTTCCTTATTCTTCTCCTTCTACTTCTTCCTCTTCTTTTTTTTAAAACACGGTGAGATTCACCTGGCATAGAATGAACTATTTTAAAGTGCACAATTCAGTGGCATCTAGCACATTCACACTGTTGTGCAACCATCACCTCTATCTAGTTCCAAAATGTTTTCATCACCCCAAAAGGAGACCATATCCCACGTGCAATCACTCCCCAAGCCCCCGTACCTTCACCCCCTGGCAACCACTGATCTGATTTCTGTCTCTATGGATTTGCCTGTTCTGGACATTTCATATCAATGGGGACATACACTGTGTGACCTTTTGTGTCTGGCTTCTATAACTCAGCATCATGTTTTCGAGGTTCACCCTGTTGTAGCATGTCAGTGCTTCATTTATTCTGTTGAGTGACATTCCATTGTAAGGATATATCACAATTTGTTTATCCATTCATCTCGGATGTTTCCACCTTTTACCTATTGGGAAATGTACTGCTATAAACCTACATGGACAAGTATTTGTTTGAGTTCCTGTTTTCAGTTCTTTAGGATTCATTTCCTTCTACCATACTGGCTGTTTCTGTGATCACTTCCCAGATAAAGTGCTTGAACTCAAATCCTTGATCTAGGATCAGCTTCTGAAGAAACTAAAACAAAGTGGGTGGGTAACAATAATATTAATAACACAATGACCTGGTATGGAGTGCTTTCTACGTGCCAGGCACCACGCTCAGGGATGTACATGCCTCATCTCATAGAACCTTAAGGCAGTATTTGGAGGGCGGTCCTATCATTCTCCCCATTGTCCAGAGAACTCAAGGTCAGCTCCTCAAGCTCAAGGGAGACTGGAACTGACAGAGGTCACAGGAGGCCCCGCCAGAGGTCAACCTCAATTACCCTCACTTTAAAGACCACGGATCTCAGACACTGCCAAGGAGATTCCTGAAGATGATGAATCTTGTCCTCATCTCTTCTTTCCACCCACTCCTACCAGTCAAGGTTTCCCTCTGTGCTCCTACCTCCTTGGGCAACACAGGTAAAGGAACCCTGAACTCCAGGTCACCTGAGTCCCAATCTCCACCCACTCCAGCCAGTGGTGCTACCCTCTAGGGGCTCAGACTCATTGGCTCCTCCACCAGCCAACACCCAACCACATCAACCCTGAAGAAAACATGAAATTTCTATTGGTTACTGCATCCTGGGAAAAAAAGCTGGGCAGATCACCAAATTTGGAGAGTCCCACTGGGATGGTCTGACTTAAAATGAATATGGCATGATCACTCATTAGGATAGCTACTATAATAATAATAATAATAATAATAATAATAATAATAATAATAATTACAACAACAACAAATGTTGGCGAGGATGCAGAGAAATCGGAACCCATATGTTAGGGATGTAAAATGGTAAAGTCATGCTGTGGAAAACATTATGGAAGTTCCTAAAAAACAATTAAACAGAATTACCATACGTTCCAGCAAGCCCACTTCTGGGTAGATCTCCAAAAGAAGAGTAGGGACTCAGATATTTGTACATCCATGTTCACAGCAGCATTATTCACGGTGGCCAAAAGGCAAAAGCAACTCAAGTGCCCATGAATGGATGAATGGATAAACAAAATGTGGTCCATCTATACAATGGAATATTATTCAGCCATAAAAAGGACATTCTGATAACCTGATACAGCTTGGATGAACCTCGAGGACATTATGCTCAGTGAAATAAGCCATCCACAAAAGGACAAATGCTATATGATTCCACTTATATGAGGTCCCTAGAGGAGTCACATCATAGGTGGTGGGTGCCAAGGTCTGGGGAAGGGAGATGGGGAGTTAGTGTTTAATGGGGACAGAGTTTCAGTTTGGGAAGATGAACAAGTTATGAAGATGGATGGTGTGATGGCAGCACAACAGTGTGAATGTACTTAATGCCACTCACTGAACTGTGCACTTAAAATAGTTAAGGTGGTAAATGTTATGTGTATTTTACCTCAATTTAAAATCTTTTTAAAAATACAGACTTCCTAGTGTAGGCGATATGCCCCCTAAAAGGTCCAGGTAGGGGCAGTGGGTGGGGAATAGGCAACATCCCAAAATGAAGCACAGAGAGCCCCAAGTCACAAATTCAAGGCAGATGCTCTGAACTGGGGACGCTGGTGGACAACTGGGCTGCCTCTTGCACAGACAGCTCCCGGTGACACGCTTGACAGGAGGTAGCCATGGGTATTTATTTCTTTACCAATTTAATGGTGGGTAAGGATTCCCCCCAGCAATGCAGAGAACTCAGCTCGTAATTACTAGGAACAATTGTGACCTTCCTCTAATGCTTCCACATACCAGGCTCTTCACCAAGTGCTCTACATGCATTTCTCCAGCATTCAGTTGGCAAATCATTTTTTGAGCGCTGCTGTGTGTGTGCAACTCTGTTCTGGGCATTGGGGATGTAATGGTGAGCAGGACAGATATAGCCCAGGTCCTCAGGGAAGGTGACCACCAACAGACATGACAGAGTACCATATAAAGGCTACATGTCATGAAGGAGGTGAAAGGTAGGGGGGCTGAATATTGCCCCCCTCCCCAAGAAAGACACAATGTCCTAATCCCTGGAACATAGAATGTGACTTTATATAGCAAAGTCTTTGCAGATGGGATTAAGGATCTTGAGATGGGGAGGTTATCCTGAATTATTCAGGTGGGTGCTAACAGGAATCACAGGTGTCCTTCTAAGAGAGAGGCATAGAGGAGGAGAAGGCCATGTGAAGACGGAGGCAGAGATTGGAGTGATGCGGCCACAAGCCATGGGACGCCTGGGGTCACCAGAAGCTGGAAGAGGCAGGAAGGATCCTGACCTAGAGCCATCAGAGGAAGCATGGCCCTGCTGACACCTGAATGGCAGACTTCTGGACTCCAGAACTGTGAGAGAAGAAATTTTTGTCTTTGGGGGGTGCCAATATTCAGTTTGTGGTCATTTGTGACAGCAGCCCCAGGACACGAATACACAGAGTAAAAGGATAGAGAGCAATTCTATTAGATAAGGTGGTCCAGGATGGCCTCTCTGGAGAGGGCTATCTAGGCAGACTCTGAGTGAAGTGAAGACCGTAAATCAAGGGGGCTTTCCTATTAAATGCACACACACGCGCACGCACACATGCACGCACACACCATAAGCAGTTGGGTTCTAATCCTGACACCTCCACTGACTGGCTGTGTGCCCTAGGCCTCAGTTTCCCCATCTGAAACTGAGGTGTCTGTAAAAGATTATCTCAGTAGGTGGGTCACGATCTTGTCAGGCCCAACACTCCTGGGAGGGGAAGTCAATACATTCAGCCAACAGGGGGCCACGTGGTTCACCTCTAATCCCTCGGCAACCTGGCTGCAGCCTCGCTCCCAACCCACCCACCACAGTTATCTTTCTGAAGGTCTGCCTCTTCCCTGCTCTCAAGCCCTCCATGACTCCCCACTGCCCTCGGCCTGGCATCCAAAGCCCTTCAGGAGCTGATCCCTCCATGTTAGGCACAAAGATCCCCCTTCTCAGCCTGTTTTGGACTCCTCTTTGCCCAATTGGAAAATGTTGGGGATCCTTAGAGCGTGGCCCTGGGTCATCTCCTCTTCCTCTGTGTACACCTCCTGGGGATCTCACCCCCTCCCATGGCTGCTGTGACCGCATCTCTGAGGTGCTTCCCATGTCTCAGTGTCCAGCTCTGAATATCCCCCCAATAGGTCCAGCCACCTCCTGGGTATCCCCCTCAGAGGGCATCCCCAGACCCTCAGATTCACCTCACCTCCCTCTTTCTCCCCACATCCAATCTGTTGTCAGGTCCTGCCAGTGGTCTGTCCTAAACACCTTTCACATCCATTCATTTCTCTCCGTCCCCATCATTGCATGTCAGGCCACCACAGCAGGGTGCTCCCACTGGTCTCTCCAGCTCTATCCTGCCCCCCAACAATCCATTCTCCACATAGCAGCAGAGGGATCTTCCTAAATTTAAGTCAGATCACGACCTCCCCCAGCTCAGAATCCTTCTGTGGCTCACCATCACACTATGAACACAATGCAGACATCTTTCTGTGGACTGCAACACCCTGTGTGGCCTGGCCCCCGTTGACCCTTCCAACCCTGTCTCCCAACACCCTCTCCCTCACTCACTCAACTCCAGCTACTCCAGCTAGAGGCCAAGTTCATTCCCACCTCAGAGCCTTTGCATATGCTGTTCCCACCACCACCATGCCTTTCCCACAGCTCAGCCCATGGTGGCCCCTCTTTCCCTAGGCCCAACTCTGCCTCAACTGTCCATTTTTCGCCACCATCAGCCACCCCACTTCCTTCGCTCTCTAAAGAGTTATTGAGCACCTGCTGTTACATGGTGGCTTTCACAATCATTCCTTTCATCTTCCCAGTAGCCCTCAAAGGGAGTTGGGGCACTTCTGAGTGTAGTAACAGTAAGGGCCCCACCCCAACCCAGGAAAATCCCAGCTGATATCCTGACAAAGAAAATGTCTTCCTAAAGAATTGAAACAGGAAGAAATTGGAACAAGAGA